TCTAATTTATATTAAATTGTTTCATATTAAAACTTAAAAACTATCAAACCAAAACATATATGTATATATATAACTATATATATACGAAACCAAAGCGTGTATGTGTGTATATGATTGAGCTTAAAGTACTAACACACATAATATAAAACCTAAAACTAAATTTACCCAAGCTTGTGATCTTCAACGAACCTTTATCTTGATATACTTACGGATGAAGCTTGAACTTGAATCTTTAACTTTGAATTACGTAGGCTTTATACCATAATTCCGCCAACCTCCATTGGATATGATCGTAAAAGCACAATTCCATCTATCCTCCAACATATTACTTGTCTATAATAAATAAAAAAACATGAATACTAGATAAATAACATTAGTGATAAATTATTTGTTAAACATCATCAAAAACAAAGAGGCCAACACGGTGTACATCCAGTCCCCAAGCAAATCCCGCTTGAGAGTTTTCATTATGATTTTGAAACCTTACAAAATCAAAAGCAAACCTGACCAATTTGCAAGATCATGCAAATTACAAACCTAATTGACAAGACCATGCCAATTGTTAAACCGACCTCTAGACCAAGAGATCAACCCCTCTCATAAACCGAGAGAACCTTTCTTTAAAGCAATGTATAATTCTAATCCTATAAGCCTTGATGTGGATGTGAACGTGTAACCGTGGCTTATCAATCTTTTTTAACTTTCTGAATATTGCCAAAATAAGCTCTAAGAATAATAGGAACAAAGGCAATATCAGAAACTCTCCTTTATAGAAAAACAGATTGAAAAACTGAAAGTTTAGAGAGTTAATTTGCACAATATGTGAATCTTATAAGTAAAAAAACTTGGTGCAAGTATTCTGATGTTTAAACCTATTTATAGCCTCTGAAATGACATAATTTTAAACCCAATTAACATCCATAAAATGACTATAAACAGTCACTTATTGAAAACCTAAAATCTAAAAAAACTATATCTGTAGTCGACTACAAGTCATAGTAGTCAACTACATTGAGTCTAAACAGACTATATGAAGTCAGAAAATTGCTTAGTAGTCGACTACAAGGCATAGTAGTCGACTACACTGTAAACTCATAGATTCTGGAATTTTCTTTTTAGTATTTCGGCTCTAACGTTCTCATCCGATATCATAATGATGTGATTTAATATTTGTTGGAAAGCTCTTGAAGAGACCTACAACTTTGGTCTTTTGAGTTTTTTTAGATTCAAACTGCTAAGGGGTATAAATAAAATGTTTTAAGACCTACTCAATATATATAAACTCTAAAGGCTAACATAGGGGATTTCTATTGTTAACTAACACACTAAGCATGTGTTAATGTGTTCTAACACTATGTGTGTGCATGTGTGTGAGTGATCAAGGCTTGTACAAATTTCTAAGCAAAGAAAATGTAAAATTATATTTTGACAATAAAGTGTATCTTCTTTACTTCATTTTGCCTTGAACTCATCTATGTCTTGAGTATCTCTTTGAATATAATTGTTGATATAGATCTGATACTATAAAACAAATGTTAGCATATAATACACACAACATATAATATTTGTTATCATCAAAATAAACTAATCTTGGGGTCAAGATTCCTAACACTGTTCTCGTGTTATTTCCACCTCCATATAATTTTAAGTTTTAGTTTAAGTGTTGGTTCTATTGAATATGTTAGTTCTAGCTGGGTTAATGTTCATTCTAGTCATTGTCGTGTTAGTTCTAGCCATTCTCATGTTAGCTAATGCAATGTCTAGTTTAAATGTGTGTTCTAATGCCTATGTTAGTTCTAGTTGTGTTCTAATGCCTATGTTAGTTCTAGTTTAAATGTGATAGTTCTAGCTGATCTCGTATTATTTCCACCTCCAGATAACTTTAAGTTCTAGTTTAAGTGTTGGTTCTATTGGATATGTAAGTTTTCCAGATAACTTTAAGTTCTAATTTAAGTGTTGGTTCTATTGGATATGTAAGTTCTAGCTGGGTTAATGTTAGTTCTAGTCGTTACTGTGTTAGTTCTAGCCGTTCTCGTGTTAGCTAACGCAAGGTCTAGTTTAAATATGTATTCTAATGCCTATGTTAGTTCTAGTTGTGTTATTGTTAGTTTTAGTGTAGACATTCATGTCTAAATTCATTAATCAAACGAGTTAACTAAGGTAAGAAATGAAATAGCTTATAACTTACCTAATTCAAAAAAAAAGCGTTTGCCTAGTTCTCTGAAGCGTAGTTCATGATAATATTATATGCTCTTTCGTTAACCAGTCTAATATCGTCCATATAATCGTTCCATTCTGCTCTAGTATATTTATAACAAGCAGATTGTAAAAGATTCCCCAAAATCTGAGTATCCTTTGCCTTGAATCCTAAATCCCTCAGCTTTATCCTGAAGTTCTCAACTAGATGCAGAACACATCGAGAGTATATAGCATCTAGGAAAATTCTCTAACCGCTTCTCTGATCCCCTTATCCGCATCTGATATTATAACAAGCTTGTGTGGAGGGTCGTATAGATCCGACCTTTCGTAAAGAATAGACGACAAGCCTATAAAGAGATGTGGTTAATATACACGAAGTTAGAGTTAACAAGGAATGTGTTAGAACTATCATGATCTACAATAGAACTAACATGGCTGAGTATAGAACTAACCTTGTAAGAACCACTTCTAGTTAACGTTATTTTCCTGATCACATATGCAATAGGCAATGGAAATATCCCCTGATTTCCATCATATGCTACGTCACTGAGGAGTATACCTTTGAATCAATCTTTCAGAAAGGTACCAACCAAAAATATAAGCGGTCTACATCCGTGCAAAAATCCATTTATGTAGGCGACATAGCAAATGAATAGCCTTGTAAATCTATCCTTATGTTGTTCAACATGAATGTAGCTACCTGAGTTTGTCTTCTTAACTTCTTCTACACACCTAGAAAATTGAAGATTAAGTGTTAGGATCAACATTAAGAAATTTCGTATAAACAAACAGCATCACATGAATGAAATTAGTTTGTATATTATAGGTATTATCTTCTTTTTACCATCGTAATTAATCGTAGGACTCATGAGCATCACCATATAATTACTCTTTTGCTCTTTCTTTACCCCATCATATCTTACTATAATCGACCCTAAGCCCATACGAACTTAAAAACTCTTTTTGTACGTCAAGAGGTCATATATCCGGTCTGACCTTTAATATGGGTTGTAATTGGGTCGCAATGAATTGTTGAGAGGCCCTAGATTGACTTGCATTATTGCCATGCTGCCCACAAGTGTGATTGTCCACGAATATTTTGATTTCAAGTCTATTTTCATCTTTAGGTGGAGAGGCAAATAACATCCACGGGCAATTTTTGGCCTCCTTAAACTGATAAAAAACTCGAATACGCTTCGGTTCATTCTTTCCAAACTCGTACTTGGATTATTTTTTACCATGGAGTAGTATAGCAAGACCAATCTTAATTCCTTCGCACTTTCAAACCGTTATCCCTTACAGGTTAACGCAGTGTATCACCAAACAGGAATCCTCTCTGTTCTGTTAATCATGTCATCAAACATCAAAACATTATCTCCGGAAGGATTGTCATTGGGAATCCTATCTAAAACACATGTGGTCGTCGACAAAGGCGGGTTATAGTCTATACTTTTTGAGTTTAAACTGCTAGAAGCGCTACAAATATTAAGAACACAAACAATTAATCATAAACTACACAAATAGTAGAACAGACCCTACAACAGCTAGAACCAATATTATCCCAGCTAACACTAACAAAGGCAACAGAACATACGCTTGCACTAGAACTTGAGTTAGCTGGAGGCAGAACCAGCACGATATCAGTTTGGACCGACCCCACAACAGTTAGGACTAACATTATCTAGGCTAGGACTAATAGAGGCAACAAAACCAACGCTTACGCTATAACTAGTGCTAGCTGGGGTAGAACTAACATGAATTCAGCTAGAACTGACCCTACAATAGCTAGGACTAACATTATCACAGCTAGCACTAACAAAGGTAACAGAACCAACGCTTACACTAGAACTTGAGTTACATATATAAATGAGTGAGGGTCAACAGAGAGTCGTCGATGGGGAGATCGAGGAAAGAGTAAGTTGTAAGGTTATCATAACTATCCTGTATAGAAGCATCATCTGCTTCTTTATTAGCTTGCATGTGAACCTCTTTCAGTCCAAGATTGTGGCAATGCTCCATCATAGACGACAGATTCCTCTCGTTCTCAATAGGAAATTTGAAACTTCCATTCGTTTCATCTTTGTATGATAAACTTAATAAATCATTTGGAAGATCTAACATCTTTGACATATCAAATTTGAGGTCCAGAATAGTGGTTGAAGAGTTAATCTTCATGAATACTGCTTTATCCCCCAAAGAGACAATGCAGATGATGTCCTTCTCAGCCATTATGAAGGGAAGATAAGAGTAATGGATCGAATTTTAGGATAAGTCGGAGTAATAAAGAGAGTGATGGAGAGAATTTTCGTCTAAGGAGGAGTAATGGAGAACTAAATAGTTATTGCTCATGATAGTGTAAAAAGGGGGGAACTTTCCCTCCATTTCTTCCATCATATCGCATTAATAAGAAATGAATACTGTAGCTTTTGGGGATGGGTCGTCGCCTCGGGAAGAATGAGAAAGGCAAGTTCGGGTTTTTGACAAAATACAATCTGCTTTTAGTATGATTCTAATGTGGAAGAGCATTACTACATTAAACGTCACTTTTTGGGGCTTATCCACATGAGGCAGAATACAAAGGTCTGGTCACATGAATTTTCTGTTTTTGGGGGCTGGACACATTTTCCCCTATTTTTTTATAAAAATGAAGAAAACACCAAAAAATAAATAAAAATTATTTATAGAATACGATGGAAAAGAACTCTCCTTTCATTTAAGTGGCCCCACAACCCGTCACATCCTAATCCAGTTTTACAGTGCCATGTTCGCATACGTTTGAAGTCTACAGATCATTTTCCCTTCTTTTAACACCCCACCGCCTCCGCTCTTCTTTCTTCTTTCTTTATTGCCCTTCTCAACTTCCCCGCTATTCCTCTCCCTTTCCCTTTACTCTCCGAACAAATCTCGATCTCCAATCCATCCTCTCAAAAAACCCTGACTCTTTCCTTCAATCCCAATTATTCGAAACTTCAAGGTGAGGGTTTTCTCAGACTTGAAACCAATCCCATCTTTCTTCTCCCAAATTCTTCACTCATTAATTTCTTTTTTCTACTAGGGTTTGTTGAAGCTGTGATTCGTATGGATTCGTCGAGTTCGAGCCAACCGGAGTTTGATTACTTGTTTAAAGTTTTGATGATCGGCGACTCCGGCGTCGGGAAGAGCAGTCTTCTCCTTAGATTCACTGCTGATTCTTTTGAAGATCTCTCTCCTACAATTGGTTTGTATTTGTGCAATCAAGGTTCTTTTTGCTAAGTTTCTGTTCATTTTAGGTAATGCATTGCATGTTCACTTGACTGATGATAATTTTTCGTGTGGGCATCTAAAAGGGAATCTTGTTAGACTGTGGATTAGCAAATGTGTGCTATTTTTTAGTACTGTTATATGAGAGAAGACGGTGGAAATTTCCTCGTTTCTGATTACTTGGTCTTTATGTTTTATAGTAGATGGTTTGTGGTTTTAAGACTACAACTGAATGCGAGTGCTATGATTGTATCGAATGGCAAAGTTTAACCCGTAACTGGGGATGGGCGGGGCTGATTCAGCACAGGAACATTTGGGTAGTTTCTGACAGTAAGTATGATTTGTGCTCGAAGATATTGGTACAATTATTTTCAGTCACCATTAGAATCTGATGATTAGATGTAGCACTCGATATTCACAAACAACTTTCTGGCGAAAGATGTGGCGATTGCAATGTCATAAATGTATGAAAGATCCAACCACAAATGCAAATGGGGTTTTGTATCATTTTTTCCTCTTCTAATGTCCTATTTTCATGGGGTTGTGAGTATTTAACAATTAAATTTATTATTTGAGCCTAAACACTGAAATGGAATTAAGAAACACGTGCAAAAAATGAGCATAACAGAAACGAGAATGTTATGATGGATGTGGAGATATACATTAAGAGAGAAAATAAGAAATCATGACATTTTTAGAATGTTGGAAATTGCTCCTACTGAGGATAAAATGAGAGAATTGATTGAGATGGGTTGGCCATGTGCAACGGAGGTATCTCGCTATGTGATTATAATTAACGGAGCAAGGAGAACCAAGGGTAGGTCAAAGATAATTTAGCTGGAAACAATTAAGAAGGATATGATTGTGGTTACCTTAATGGAGGAGATAAATGGCAGATTGATTCATGTAGTTTATCCAAACATTAAGTGTAAAGAGTGTTATTTTGCTGCATTCTTTGTAATTTAAATTATGAAAAACACTTCTTGATGACAGCAGTATAAGTGGCAATGGTAATATTGACAGCCTGCAAACCTGGCTCGCAACTGGCTCTTTCTCATTTGATCTTTTTTTTCTGTCTTCTTTCCAAAAGATTGCACAAATTTTTTTAAAGAAGACATGTTATTGATTGATAGCAATGGAGTCGAAAGCAATGAGGTAGAAAAGACTGAAGAGTGGAATCTACCTTTGACATAATATAATTTTATGTTTGGTTTTGCAGAAGTGATCCATAGGTGGAATTCATTGAAATGAACATTTTTTCTTTATTTTTTTGAATGAATAATGTTTACATATTGCAACAGTTTTTGGGAAAAAATAAGTTAGGGCAGAAAACATGCCAAGATCAGTTTGAGTGCCTCATTCTAGTTTAGTACAAAAGTTGCGGAAAACAGAAAAGGGCCTGACATCAACTGCTTCTAGTCAATCTCAACTGTTTTGTTAACTTGTCAGCCTCTATTTCGCTATTACACTACTCAAAATTCTTAAGTACCATAACTGTCTTCTGATCTCACAACATCATAACTACTTTTCTAATAGAAGCAGTCTCGCAATAGCACAACTGAATCAAACAGCTCTGGTAAGTGAAATTATTTGATTACTCCCTATTATTTGAGTCATTCCAGCCATAAGCACTTTGGTTCTTTTGGATGTAGGGTAGCATGGCCTAAGCCCGACCAAGTTTCATCAATGGTTATCTAGCCCCTCATTTTGTTTGGTAATTTTCCAGTTATGATTGAAGTGTTGCATGACTCTCTTATGGTTTAAATTTTCTCTGTGCACCTTTTACTAGAGTATTTAAAAATAGTTCAATGTCTTGGTGTGGATAACTCATGGTTAATTTTATTTATACTATATGATGGATGGGTAAAACAAACATTAATATGTTTTAATATGAGCTCAGTTTAATGCAGTTCATTGTATATTTCACTTTGTTGGTAGGAGCAAATTTATTCCAATATTACATACGCCTAATTAAATTGTCATTTATTAAAAATAGAAAGGAGAAGAAGAAGAGTCGTGCTTATGATTTATCTGAAGTTAGTCAATATGCAGTGTCACTATTTTCTGGATCATGAAATTTCCTTAATTTTAGAAATATACTATGAATTTGAAGTTTTGAAAATTAAATAATTATATAAATTTTGTCATTGCTGAAACTCTTATTTCTGTTGTTCCGCCCTTTTCTTATCTTGTAAGAAGAAATTATTGGTACTTTACTAATCATGGGAAATGCTTTTGTAGATTATTTTTCTCCATCTTTGTTGTTATTCATCCTTTTTTTTTCCTTCACATATTCTCTTACAGTGTCACCTTTACCATCTACTCACATTTGAGCATGTTCTTGCCTATTAGTCATGAAGGATTGATAAGTGCTTCACCTTTACATTTATTTTATCAATTCTGTTTTCTGATGTTCTAGTTTTTATTTAGGTGTTGACTTCAAGGTAAAGATGGTTACTATTGGGGGCAAGAAATTGAAGCTTGCGATATGGGACACAGGTGACGTTGTTGTTTGTGATCGTAGTCGGAACTTTCATTTCGCACATTTGTCTATTACTTATTTCTTCATGCTGTCTTTCTATTTAACTCCAAAAGCAGTATTTATTGAAATTTGATCATGCATTTTGCTTTTCAGTCCCTTGCTTTTGTTCTCTTTTGTGTATGTGCTACTTTAGTCTGTTGCAGCTGGACATGCTTTTGACCCTATTGACAGATAGTCTCCTTCTTGGCTTCTAGAAGTTTACTTATGTTTAGTGTTCCTGTATTATTTATGATTCTCATAAGATTAGTTATGTGTATGAAACTTATCATTTAGTAGAAATTATATTACATCATTCAAACCAGCATTGAACATTAGTAGGAAAACTAGTCTACCCTATAGAAGATATTATCCTACAGATTGTGAGCGGAGAACAAAATTGTGGAACGCATAAGCAGGATGATCTCACCATGTACAGAAGTTATTAAAACAATATTCAAAAGTTCAGAAAGTGGATTACACCTCGGAAGGTGTAAGCATGTGAATATCTCCGTCACATTGGCGGAGAATTATTTTTTCTCCATACTATACAACAATAAAGCAAAAACATGTTTGCTGAAATGATAATTATGTTTAGGCTGTTTAGCATGATTAGAATTTATCTATCTAATGCATGGATGTGGAAGTTTCATCTTATTTGCATCTATTCTTGAACTACTTTTAAAAAAAAGTTACTAGTCAGTTCATTGTGCATGGAATGTGGATACAGCTTGGCATGAGTCTAATTATAACCAGAGTCCAACTAATTTCTTGTGTAATTTTATACATGGATTTGGTTCTTGGAATCCAAGACTGATTCGTAAGTAGGCCACATTCTTGCCCAAGGATATTAAATCAATCTAAGAAAAGTCTTGTATGAGTCTTTACCTGATTGCACCTCATTGTTATCCCTATTTTACATCTTTCTCCATCTGCGAGAGGATAAGTCAAAACAAGTTTTCCCCCTTGTAGTATGATTTAAATCTATCGACCATGACGGAATGTATTTAATCCTTTGCCTAGCCTCTAGGATTTATTTAAGCCTCTCCCCTGCCGTGTATAAGCTAAGCATTTGCTAGATGGTTTACATGAGATAAATGACTCACTTTTGTATTGAATTTATTTCTTGTTAGAGTTTTTCTCTCTCTTCCATTTCAATGACGACAGGGTCAAGCTTTATGATGATGGCAATGTGATTCATTCCTGTGTCTACGAGAGTGTCATATACACTTACCAACTTTCATTTATGTTTTCTGTTTTCCCATTCTCTCGTTTTCTCTCGTTGGACACCTAATATTTCTACTATATTAATATTTTTATTCCTTTTGCAAGTCAACCCCACGTCCATGTGTTGAAAGTGCTCTTGTATCTGTTTGGCTTTTATCATAGCTTACAATAGAAACTGCTTCACAAACTCACACTGAACTTCGAAAATAAAACTAAACTTGAAAGAGAACACCTTACAACAAACTACTCTTCTCCTTATATAGATTAGAGGAGAATAAAAGATACATATTTTAAGAAGACAACTGGCAAAGCACTGACAAAAGATAGTTGGCAGCGCACTGACAATGAGTCTTCTTTTCAAAAGTAGCTTTATTAAAGCTTTGCTTTTGAAAAAGCTTCTTTAAGAAGTAATGAAATTTGATGAGTGGCTCCCCGGGCTCAACTCATAATGACCTGTTTATTTTTTTTTCCTTTTCCTTTAAGGACTGATGATGGAACCTGATTCAGTATTCCCATAACAGCTTTCCAAATATCTTTTTCTTCGTCTTTTCTTTGTGCGTCTGGTAAAGTGTTGTCTTCACCACAAGAATCAAGGCTTTTACTAGATTGTGTCTCCATATTATCAAATACTTCAAAAAACTGTCTTTTCATATGATTAAGACATTTCTGCTGAATTTCAGCCTCAGAAGCTTGCGGGTATTTCCGCCGATTCATTTTGGCTAACTGCATCATAGGGTTAACCTTTTGAATCTCTTGAGACAGACTTTTCGAGAACACTATTATTTCTCTCTATAATCTCTTCAATTAATTTGACCTTTTCGTCAATAATGATTCCATTCCACCATCTACAATAGTGATTTTTTTTAGAATAGGTAGATATAAATCATCCTAATCAGACTCAAAGGTCCATGTCCATATCCATGAAATCTCTGTTTCAGAGAAGAAGTAAACAGCACATAAGCCTTCGATAATATTATTGTCTTTCATTTTTGAAATGAGAGGATGAGACTCTACCCAAGTCGAATATAATTTGACTATGGGTTCAGGTAAGATGCTTTAATTAAGCACTATAAATTGTCCACCAATTGTAGAACCATGAAGGAATTCCCTTTTTAAGAGCTTCTGGACAAAGTTTTATCAACCAGGTATACTTATTCTTTAGATTTTGATATAGAAATATATTATAAAATGCCTGCTTATATTCCCAATAATTAAAAGAATAAACTTCTTTTGTATTTTGGGCTTTAACCAGAGGCAAATCTTGGTTTGGGTTTAGAGCCCACTTTCTAGGTAAAATAACCTCTTTGATGCTACATTTACTGAAATTAGGAGGGACAGTTTTATTTTCAGATCCCAGAAATGGGTTATTTCCATTCCCTTTTGCATAATTAAAGTTTTCATCCAAGATCTGGATTTTAATGACAATGTTGGGTAATAATTGATATTCAAATATCTTGTCCTGATATTTTTAATATCTTGCATTGAAGAAACATCTTCTGGTTCTAAATATAAAACTGTTTCTGACCACCTTTTAGGTTGTTCAATTGGCTTCTTGTTTTACTATAGCCGAGAAAGGCTCAGGATTATTTTCTTGACTTACTTTATTTATAAGGTCATTCACAAGGCCTTTATAAAAGGCTGGGCTTTTAGCCTGGTTTCCTGAATAATTCTTTTTGGCCACAGTTCTCCATGAACTGGATTCAGGATTGGAACATTCGAAGAATTCATTAGGACTATAAGCCCTCTGAATATTTTGGGGTGAACTACCCCGGCCTCTCCCCCCTTAAAGAGGGATTATTCCGTTTCATGGGTACCCTGTAAAAATTCACGAGTAAGAAAATCAAGTAAGTAGTTATTACTATCTTTAATATATTCAATTTTAAATTCATACATAGCAAGTTCAGCTTGCCATCTGGCAAAGATTTGTTTAGAAACAAGATTTTTAACATCTTTTTCTATAACACTTTTAGCAGAACTATAATCAATGCGTAATAAAAATTCTTGATTAAGAATATCATCTCTAAATTTAGAGAGGCATTTAATAATAGAAAGCATTTCTTTCTTAATAGTTGAATAGTTAAATTGGGCTTTATCCCATTTACCAGATGTAAATCTAACTAACTGTTCTTTATTTTTTGTAGGATCGATTTGCTTTAAAATTCCTCCATAACCTAAATTAGAGGCATCGGTTTTAACAACTTTAAACCAATCAATATTTGTTAAATGAGTACAAGGTAGACATTTAACATTATTTTTTATCCTTTTAACAGCTTCAGTATGCTGATCTGTCCATGGTTTAGCATTCTTTTTTAATCTACTATATAGATAGCATTCTTTTTTAATCTACTATATAGAATAGCAGTGTCTTGAGCTAGATTTTTATAATAATCTGCAATATAATTTAGGGAGCCTAAAAATCTTTGTAGTTTAGTATCACTAATAATATCAGAAAATTTAGAAGCAAATTCAATACTTCTATCAATAGGAATTATTGTTCCCTTATGAATATTATGACCCAAAAATCTTACTTGAGTTAAGAATAATTTCATTTTGGGAGCAGATACTACTAAGCCATTTCTTATGGCTAAATTTCTAAATATTTCTAAATGTTTGACATGTTGATCAAAGCTTTGAGAGAAAATTAAAATATCTATATATGATAAGATGAAATCCGTATAAGGAATAAATATTTCATTCATGATGTTCTGAAATTCAGAAGGGGCATTTTTTAAACCAAAAGTCATAACATTTCATTCATAATGTCCGAATGGAACAACAAAGACAGTTTTATATCTGTCTTTTTCTTCAATTTGTATTTGCCAATATCCTGACTTTAAGTCAAATTTAGAAAATATTTTCGCATTATTAATGCGATTTAATTAGTCCCTTTTATTAGGAATAGGATATCTTATCCATTTTAAAACTGTATTTAGAGGTTTATAATTTATAACAAGACGAGGTACTCCTCTTTCTTGTTCAGCAGCATTATTAACATAAAATGCTGTACAGCTCCAAGGAGAATATGATTTTCTTATTAATTTTTTCTCTATAAGAGAATGTATTTCATTTTTACATAAATCCAGATATTCTTTATTCATCTGACAAGGTCTGGATTTTGTAGGAATATCTTTTTCATTAAAACCATCAATATATGCATCTAAATCTCTTTCTTTATCTAATTTAAATAAAGAAATTCAAATTTTAAAAAAGGAGGTTAAAAATCTAAAATAAGAAAACAAGTATATTCTAAATAAAATTAATAATGAAGAGAATCAAAAAACTCTTATAATATCAGAAAATAATTCTTATAAAGAACAAGATATTGAGAGTTCAAATTTTTTACGAATCTTAAAACAAATTACCTCTCAAAAATGGTACATAAAAAATTACTTTAGCTATAGCTGAACTTTTATCTCTTTTAGACTTGAATGGTTTTTTATGATGTTTATCATTTTTATTCTTTTCTTCTTTAAAATATTTTTTCTTTTTCTTAAAAGAAGAATGTTTTTTATTTTTAAATTCTTTTATTGGTTCTTTTTCAACTCTATAAGGTTGATCAAAAGCGAATTGCTCGCAAAATTCTCCTAACTCTTTTCTTTTAGTAAGTCTTTGAGATTTTAATTTGGTTTTTTAATTTTAAATCATTACATAATGCTAATCCTTCTTTAATACAAGCATTTGTTAAATATCCATAAGTAAGATTTTCATAGGGGATTTAACCTCCTTGTTCATCTCCTGAAGAAAAGAAAGAAAA